CGGACTGGGCAGGGCTCGGCGCGCCCGGGGCGGGGGCGGGGTGGCCTGTCGGCGTCGCCGAAGCCGCTGGCCCGCGATCTCCCCGAACCTTCTTTTTCCACCCTTGCCTTCCCAAGGTGCCAGCTCCGGGGCGGGGGTGTGGAGGGCGGCAGGTGGGAGGCCCGGCGGCCGCCGGGGGTTGGGGAGAGGCGGCTCTGGATGGGGGACTCAGCATCCCTGGCTCGGCAAGTGTCAGGGTGTGCCCACTGCGGCTGGGCAGCCCGCGGGTCCCCACCCACGCGGGAGGGGGTGTGGGGGTGTCAGGGAGCGCTGCCGCAGCTGTTGCGAAGGTGGGGGAGGGCGGGTTAAAGGCCACGCCTGGTGCCTGGTGCGTTGGGGACTCTCGGGAGCCCAGGGGCTGGTGTCCTGGGTTAGGGAAGGATAGTGGGAGGACTGCGTGGGAGGACTGGGCCGAGGAGACCGAGTCCATATTTAACTCAGCTTTCTGCGCCCACGCTGTGAGGTTTCCCGGGATCTCACTGCGTGCATCACCTGGCATCCACTCCAAGGCCCATCCCTCCCCAAGCCCTTAGATCAGACTTCAGAGCTGCAAGGGGGATGGGGCTGGGGGCTGGGGCGGGTAGAGGGGCACCTGCCCAGAGCTGGGCCTCCGCACTTTCCCTTCTGATGTCTTTTTCCCTTTAGCTCTGAGTCTGGGAAGTTCTTTGACTCCATCCCAGAAGAATGTGGCGCAGCTAACAAGTCAGGGGCTGGGTATGCTTACCCAGAGAGGCCTGGTGAGTGGGGTGGGGGCAGGGTCACCCTACTTCCCTACTAGGTAAGGGTGGGTTGTGTGTTGTGGTCAGTGTGCCCACTGAGGCTCTGTGTGCCCCATAGCAGTATGGAGCGGACAGTGTGGGATTGTGGGCCCCTGTGGGCCTCTGTGATGGCTGTGGGTACCTGCCTGGGTGTGGGCATGCTTGTGTGACTGTAAACTTGGGGGAGCAATTGTGTGTGCTGATCATTTGGTCTGTAGAGTGTCAGTGTGGCCACGGCTGGGCCCTGCATGTGTAATATCTTGTGGGACTGTGTGCCTGTGAGTGACAGGGGGGTGATGAGTGTGAGGGTGCTTGCGGG